CCCTCAGACGGCTCGACAAACTCCAGCATGGTATCAGGCATAAAGAAAATAGCTATCTTCATAACATATCTCAAGTAAAAAGGTGTACAAAGCCATTTGTGGCTTCTGTGATTTTTTTTTTAATTTCATCCCCAATTGCACCCCCTCAGACGGCTCGACAAACTCCAGCATGCTATCAGGGATGAAGAAAAGAGCAAACTACATAACATATCCCAAGCAGAAAGGTGTACAAAGCCATTTGTGGCTTCTATGATTTTTTTGTTTAATTTGACCCCCAATTGCACCCCCTCAGACGGCTCGACAAACTCCAGCATGGTATCTGGAACGAAGAAAGGGGCAAACTACATATCATAGCGCATGCAGAAAGGTGTACAAAGCCATGTGTGGCTTCTTTAATTTTTTTATTTCACCCCCAATTGCACCCCCTCAGACGGCTCGACAAACTCCAACACGGTATCTGGGATGAAGAAAAGAGCCAACTAGATAACATATCGCAAGCAGAAATGTGTACAAAGCTATTTGTGGCTTCTGTGTTTTTTTTAATTTCATCCCCAATTGCACCCCCTCAGACGGCTCGACAAACTCCAGCATGCTATCAGGGATGAAGAAAAGAGCAAACTACATAACATATCCCAAGCAGAAAGGTGTACAAAGCCATTTGTGGCTTCTATGATTTTTTGTTTAATTTCACCCCCAATTGCACCCCCTCAGACGGCCCGACAAACTCCAGCATGGTATCAGGCATAAAGAAAATAGCTATCTTCATAACATATCTCAAGTAAAAAGGTGTACAAAGCCATTTGTGGCTTCTGTGATTTTTTTTTAATATCATCCCCAATTGCACCCCATCAGACGGCTCGACAAACTCCAGCATGGTATCTGGGAGAAAGAAAAGAGCAAATTACATAACATATCGCAAGCAGAAAGGTATACAAATCCATTTGTGGAGTCTATGATTTTTTTTTAAATTTCATCCCCAATTGCACTCCCTCAGACGACTCGACAAACTCCAGCATGGTATCTGGGATGAAGAAAAGAGCAAACTACATAACATATCGCTTGCAGAAAGGTATACAAAGCCATTTCTGGCTTCTATGATTTTTTTATTTCACCCCCAATTGCACCCCCTCAGACGGCTCGACAAACTCCAGCATGCTATCATAGATGAAAAAAAGAGAAAATTACATAACATATCCCAAGCAGAAAGGTGTACAAAGCTATTTGTGGCTTTTATGTTTTTTTTTTAATTTCATTCCCAGTTGCATCCCCTCAGACGGCTCGACAAACTCCAGCATGGTATCAGGGATGAAGAAAAGAGTAAACTACATAACATAACCCAAGCAGAAAGGTGTACAAAGCCATTTGTGGCTTCTATGATTTTTTTTTAAATTTCACCCCCAATTGCACCCCCTGAGACAAAGCAAAAGTTAATTGCGGGTATGGTTGCTGTGTATTGAAACCTCCCCAATTGAAATCTACAAATGAAAAGCCTCTACAGGTAATTTGAACCAAGTTATATGACTATTACGATAGAGTTATATTTTTCTCAGTGTACATTTGTGGATATGGATAACTTCACACCCGTCTGGAAGTGTACCTTTTTTTCGGAAAATACGTCTTCTATCATTTCCTAAATTTCACGAAAATCTAAATAATACCAAATTTATTAACAATTAACAGTTAAATAATTTATTTTTTCGCTTTTTATAGTATCAACAAGTTTCTTTTAGAGCGTGCGCGCACTGGACGACCAATATCAAACTAAATATCGAGCAAGTAGCAGTTTCCTGTTAATCTAGTATCAACAAGTTTCTTTCACTTTATATTAATCTTTAGTCACCAAGCTTTCTTTCATGAAGTATGTTAAGATTTTTTAGAAGAATGTAATGAAGATTGACTCTGTCAAATTTGTAATTAGATGGTAAATGCAGACATGTTGAAAAAAGTAAAAATAAGTATGCCAGACCGATGTTATACATGTTTGTTAAGCCTACAATGCCCTTTTAATAGGCTTACTAGGACTCTGGTATGTATTCTATTGTGGCTTAGTAGATGCTCGGTAAGTTTTGACGATGGTCCTTTCAAGAACTCTCTGGCCTGTCTCTGTCCTGGTAATTTTTCCCTCATTCCTGAGATTTTTTAAACATCCCTTGCTTTGTGTATGTTCTGATAGCTATTTTTGTGACACCACAGAAGGGTTTTGGGTCAATAAGAGCCTTTGAGGCACCTTCTCGAGCTAGTAAATCCGCCTCTTCGTTTCCCTTATGTCCTCTGTTGCCTGGTACCCAGGCTAAGGTTAGTCTGTTTTGACTACCACTGCTCTATTAGGATTTCTAAACAGTCCCACACAAGCTTTAAGGGTAACTGCATGGAACTAAGTGCTTTTAACGTCGTTTGACTGTTTGCGTATATGACAATGGTTTTTACATTTACCTTACGTCTTAATACTTCTTTTACGCAGTGATGTATTGCTGCTATATCTGCCTGGAATACTGATGCATGTTTACCTAAGCTCAGTAGGATTCTTGTTTTTGGCTTGATACTATATATACCTACTTCTGAAATTTCATGGATTTTGAAGCCATCTGTATACCAAGTGAATTCTGCGTGAATAGGAAGTCCTCCCGTCTACGCTTCCCTGTCTGGTATAGTTACTTTATATTGCTTTTGAAAGCTATATTTTGGGAGCATTTCATCTAAAGGCATTTCCAATATTTGGTAATTCTCCAACTCTTTATATAGTTCGCTGTAGTCACGCCCATGCAAACTGCTTATGACTTCTAGGTCTGCAGTTGGAGTTGTTCTCATGGCTCCCGTGGCACTCAAGCATGCTAGCCTTTAAATGACGTTGAGCTGTCGAATGGTTGCAACTTGCCGAGTCTTTGACTACCATATCACCGACCCGTAGGTTATCATAAGTCTTATGATTCTGGTATACAACCATAGAGACAATTTTGGTTGGTGTCCCCAATTTTTTCCATACAACCTACGACATTAGTTAAAGGATGTTGTGCTTTATTGGGTCAATTTTGTAAGTGTTGATTCCATGTTAACATGTGGTCAAAGATGACTATGTGGCTTCTTGGGCAAATCGAATCTTCACTCTTCTCGGTACTGACTTTAGTCCTGTCAGTACCTTTCATTTTGTTAAGTTGACTATTGTGGTTTTGTGAGTGTTTACTGTTAGTTCCTCTCTGCACTACTCATCAACGATGTTTAGAGCGGTTTGTGTGCGCTCCGATATTGTACCTGCAAACTTGCATCTTACGACGATCGCCAGGTCAACGGCATACCCTAGAAAGTAGAAGTCTGCAAATATTAGGCTTTTTATGAGTCTGTCCACTAGAACTGACCACAGTGTAGCTTCGCCTAGAGATGATGTTATTACCCTTTCTTCTAGGCTGGCTTTTATCCACTAACACAGGACTACTGGTACCCTTTTCATTGCTAGTGCGTTAATTATAGATCTTGTATGGACATTTTTAAAAGCTCAATATTTACGCATGTTGCTAGTGACATTTCATATTTATTGATAATATCGTTAATAATCTTGTCTAGAAATGTTCTTAAGCCAAAACCTCCATAATGACCTATACATATTATTTAACGTTCAAGAAAACTTTAGATTACATTTTAAACTTTTTATTAATGGGCTTTGTCAAAAATGATCTCATTCTATAAAATTATGTTATATAAAAATGACTTCGATTTATGCAATGCTCTATAATGATAAGAATAGTTTTATAATAATTACAATGGAAAAAATACATGCACCTACGTGTATAAATAACATATTAACAGATTAAAAGAAAACAATTGTAATTTAACCTCTACTAGTTTCTATATTTCTATATTTTATGTGGCAATACCAATACCGACGGACAAATTCATAAGGAAGATTCATTTAAATGAATAATCGAAACTGAAGTAGGCAAACAATGTCTAAAATGCTTTGTTTTCGTAAATGTTACATACAGTATAATGCAAAAATAGACTCCTTTCAGTGCAATGTACAGAATGTAATTGAAATACAATTATATTGACACAGATTAATCTGTAAAAATTTAAAAAAGAAACAAAATATCTGTTAATAGCACTAATTAAATTATGAAAATTTAACTTCCAAAAATACCCATGCAACTAATGTAAAAAAATTCATAAAATACATTAATCAAACTAACCATTTCCTTGATTTAAAATCATTAATAGTGAGTAATACCACGTTAATCACGTTAACGTATACTGGCATACATTAAGTTTTAGCGAGCATAGAAGAAAGTTCGGAAGAGGATCATATATTTCAATTTTTGAATGTTTCGACAAAGTTAGTGTTATTTGTGTATATATTGTAGATTCCATTGGTTTTAATATGTCGCTGAATTTGAATTATATCCTGTACCTATTATTGAATTAGTGAATCATGTGAGAGGATTCTACCAGTGGAGATTCCCTAACCTTTTACGACACGCACTTCATATTGATAATTAAGTTTTCTTTTAAATTAAATTTTGTAGAAACAACTAATAACCTTTGAAGATATTTAGAGAAAAATAGATATTTAGAAATATATGTTTCAATCCAATTTTCCTCGAAAACTAGCTATTCATTTACAGTCAAGGTTATTCGTTTACTGGAACGCCGCTGGTAGAGCCCACTGAAGAAAAAATACATTAAAAGAAGAATATTTAAGCTTCATAAATGTTCGTAAAGTTTGGTTTAAAAATATTTTACGGACTGTGTAATAAGTTTTTATTTTCCTTTCCTTTATATTAATAACTAGGCGTTTTCAAACATTAGGGTTGCCTACCTCATTTTGATCATTCAAGAAATAAATATTATTGATCGCATGAACGCTGTGGAATTTTTGAATTGTGCATTAGTACAAAAATGGCAACATTATACGCAGTAAAGCTAACAAACGCCGTGTCATCATGTCTAGCTCATACCAATGAGTTACTCAATGCTCATACCCTTCCTGCTGTCCTATTTAGGCCCGTCAGTGAATCATGCCCAACGAAAACATTTCCTTGTTGTATTTATTTTGAAAATTATGTAATTTAATGTGTCTAATCTTGTTTAATAAATAATCCGCAGATAAATGTTTTCTTATTTTTATATGGTTAAGAATATCTGTAGTATGCCAGAAAAATGTGTCAATAAGGGTTCAATCGAACATGACACAATACAACCTACTTAAAATTTTAAAGTCGTGCCTGATTGCAAATTACTTAAATTTCCAAAAAAAAATGTAAGCACAAAGTTTTAAGAATATCACTATTCTCATTCAAAAAGATCACTGCAAAAACCTTTAATTATTGTCCAATGCTGGTTTTAATCCATTCTGCAATCTTCCATGCATCTCTGTCACCTTCGTATTTTTCACATTGTCCATTCTTAAACAACTTTAAGGTTGGATATCCTTTTATACCATGTTCTTTGGCTATACTAGTATGTTTAGCTGCATCAATTTTAGCTAGTTTAACATTCAGACTGGATTTTTGAAGCAGATTCGCCGTTTTGTCATACTCCGGAGCAAAATTTTTGCAATATTTGCACCAGGGAGCGTAAAATTCCACTAGGACGTAGGGATTATTTTCTGTAGTAGTTTTGAAGTTTTCATCATTTAATTCTATTATAGCAGGATTTTTGTTGAAAACACTGCCAATCGACGATAGAAAAAATATGCAAAATAATATTGACAACATATTTGACATAACCAAAGGATGTCAGTGTTATCAATGTGTTAAGTGTTATTTGGTAGTCGATATGAAGATAGTAAGTAGGTGAAATCATTAAAAATAATATGTATGTCTATTGAGTGACCACGGAACACACGAGAAATGAAATCACAAACCAAAAATCATGTTTTAAAAACTTTTTTCTATACCCACATGGATATTAGCTAATCTACGCACATACTACAAAACGAAAAAGTACGCTATTGCGTTCAACTGAACGAATGTATTTCATATCCATTCTAGGTAGTGAGAACACTGCAAAAAAATTAAAGCCACCAATCACAGTTCATATTTCAGACACAAAACTACTATTATTTTAGAATTATAAATAAATGACAATTCTGTCAAACTAATGTCAGTATATTTTATAGTTATTGAGATTAAATATACATTAAAATTAGTTATTTGTGTATAGAATCGATAAATAATAGCATTTATATATTTATTTGGTCAACATTTTGAAAAAAAAAAAAAAATTAATCAAACTATATGAAACTAATTTAATTACGAGTATTAAAACTAAAATGCCTTCCATGTGTAAAGTGCGGGATCGAATCTTGGGCTGGGGATAATTAAATTAAATGTTTTTTTTTCATGTTTATTTATTTTATAAATTAGTAAAATTCATAAATTATTTAACAACTAGCTATTTTGTCTAAATAATCTAAAATAATTTTTTAAATTTGTAGAAAAAATATACTGTACAACTCGAGTTGATTGTCCATATCCACTCTTGTTGCAAAAACTACTATTATTTTACTTACTTACAAGAATATATTTATGGCTTGAATGATAACTAAAAACTCACTTCCCTATTCTAAAACTACTTTTATACAGTGTGAGAAGGTTTGTGGGTTAGAAGAGGTATTTTAACTTCAAAATGCGTTTAATCGAATGATAAAATAACAAATAAAAACTTATAACTAAAATTATTGTTCCGTCAGGTGCTCGTAACAACGTCTCGAGCCTGACTGTCTACTGCCCATAGATAAATTAATATAAAACAAGATGAATTTATTAAATGCCCGCCACTGTCAACACGGCGTAGTTCCCAGCATACTATTAGTTAGCGCCACCATCGCAATAGTATGAAAGCGATGTTGCCGGTTTCCGTAAACTTTCATGAGATGATAGTTATTTCAAATTCATTTTATTTTAATTTTTTATCAATCTACATGCGCACCATACCATCCATACAATGTCCATACTATTGCTGAGATTTTTAAAAGACGGGATTGACAACCTTGTAAAAAATGAAAAACGTGATGGCGGAAGGCGGGATATGATGATAAAATAAAACTTATTTTTATTTTATGATGTAAGTTACATAGGTAGGTAAGTTATTTTTAGGTTAAGAAACAAACGGTGCTGATTTGATGTAATTAGTAAGTATTAACTTTAATTTAATATTAAGTATTTAAGGACTTTGTTTATCATTGTTTTCTTAGCCTTAACGATATATAGGTATCTAATTTCATATTTCAACAATTCCTTTTCTAATATTTGAAACAAAAATGTCTGGCCCGGGTATAGTTAAGTATTCTTGTTCAGCTCCTAATTGTTTAAATAAGTATTATTCTAATATTCAGCAAGTTGGTTATTCAAATAAAGCATTTTTTCATTTTCCTTCTGATGTTAAAGTTCGCCAGAACTGGTTTAAGAATTTAAATTTAACTTTAGATAATAATACTCGCTATCTTTGTGAAGATCATTTTTTGCCAGTCTTTTAGTAAGGTTTCCTCAAAACGTAAACGACTAGTTGTACATTCTGTACCAATTTCTTTAAATAATTATGCATCCAGTTCAAATATACAACCCGAGAGTCAGATTTCAGAATATATTGAGGCTGAAGCACAAACACAGCAGCATAAGATAGATTTGCTAATCAGCAACGAAAATCAAGAAATTAGTAGCTGCTTTACCTCCTCGTGGTGGGATGCAGGCAACAGTAAACTGAAAGCAAATTCTCAAAAGAAGATATTTTCAAACCTCAAGAGTTGCTACTTTTCACTTACTGGCTAAAGTTGGCAAGTACTAACAAATTCTTCAATTTTTGATTTATAACTAATACGTTATGTAGTAAAGAGATTAATCAATTAAGCTATATTTTCATAAATTGTAGTAAACCTATACTAAATAATTTTATTGTTAAAGTTCACCTTTATTTTTTATTAATTTATATATAATTAATAGTTATTGTCAAGTTTCACTTTTTCCTCCTTTTGAATTGAAACCTTGCCCTGGTGATGGGCCTGTGTACCTTAATGATTAATTGATAACAGAATTTAAGGGATATCCTTTTTTCGTCTGTTAAAAATGAAAGGTCCTATTAATATCAATCCTGAATTTATTATACATATAATGCAACACATTTATGTGCAGAAATAGTATATTATGCAACGATCATGTAATGATGGTTATTAATACACGAGCATTAACCGGGATACGAAACGAGCCAAAGGCGAGTTTCGTATGGTTTATGCGAGTGTTTTAATAACCATTACATGAGAGTTGCATACGCTATTTTTTCTACACCCGATAAATAATCAAGACCTATAAATATTCTATTTATATTGGCATTGAACACAATAACAGTAATTACTCGTATTTCTATAAAAAATTCTACAAAATTGTAATTAATGGTATTACCTTGGGTATTGGTATTACCACAGATTTTTGGGGCAAAATATTTTGTACTGCATTTTCTCCTTTCTCCGATATGTGTGGAGGAGTCTTCTATATCGCTGATATCAGACATTTTAATATTATAATTATCGAAGTTTAGCTATCTACGAAAATTTAATACGTTTTGACAACTAAAACAATTACATAGGAATTTAGGACAAACGTCAAACATCATGCTTGATTGAAAAATTGTAGGTTTCTATTGATTAAAAATCTGTATCATAATGAAAAATCTGTATCATAATGGGTATCATTATGAAACGGATTATGGGCATATAAGTGCATTATTAAAATACGGGTGTAGAAAAATAAAATTATACTTAATATTTTGAATAACAATTTTTAATCAGATTTATTAAACCAATTAGATTTGTTAATTTAAAGTTAAAACAATTCAAATGGACTATTGCATTATGAGGAATAAACAGAAATAGTTTTTTTCCACACCCACATGGATATAGCTATTCTACTCACAGACTACAAAATGAAAAAGTAAGCCATTGGGTTCAAGTCATATATCCATTCTACCTAGTAAGAACACTGCATGGATATGAAATCCACCAGTCACAGTTCATTATTTGTTCACTGGGCTATTATTAATTTTTTAAATTTTAAATGTCACAATTTTGTCAAACTAATTGTCAGTATATTTTTTAGTTATTGAAAATAAATTAGTAAGTCATAAATTATTTTTAAATTGGAAATTTTATCTTAGTTACCCAAAATAATTTTAAAAAATTGTAAATTTTCGTTAGAGGGTCGTAGAAAAAATATACTGTACAACTAGAGTGGATTGTCCTTATCGCACTCAAATGATTGAACACTCCACGTACTGCGTCGTTCTCAATCTTCGTCAAATAATTAAAAATAACTTAGTTTTATAAAAATGGTCAACATTTTGATAAGAGAAATTGTTCAATAACATATATGTACACTTTTTGTTTTGTTTTTATAGGAAACACCTGACGCCCATCAAAGTATGGTCCATTTTTACAAGAATGTGGGGAAACTAGTATTCATTTCACTTACAATTGTTCTTTATTAACACATTATGTATGTATTACTGTATAATAAATAATTTAAATATATTTGTCTTATATTTTATTTCAGTGTAAATATTTTTTGTCTACATTTTTGTATACATTTTTTGGGGTTTTATAACTAAAAAAAACTAATATATATGTTAAATACAATATTTTAATATAAATATTAGTTTTTCTTTTTAAAGTAATGAACCCCAAAAAATATAAATAAATAAATAAAGATATTTAAATGAACCGCGGTTACGTTAACACTCTTCTTTTTTTATGCCTCTTACTGACAAATCAATCGGCCAGTGTAGTTCAAAAAAGATCCGTTCCATACTAATTCGCAGCACTACGTTTCCAAAGATTAACACAGAATCCGACCATCTTCTTTATTAGTTTATCTATGCTACTGCCGGTGTTCGACCGCCCGACCTCGCTCGTTTCCCTTCACTTCGCGCACATCACTTACCAGTGGCGTAGCACTTGTGTTTTATAACCACTACAAGTGTGGAACAGCCAAATGGAATAAATTCGGCAATAAATAAATGGGGTCATGTTCGGAAAATGCTCGGAAACGTCGATTGGTATTTTCCGTTGCGCATTTTTTTAATAAAAACTTTTTATACAGGGTGTGTCATGTAACAGTGGACAATACCAATTTTCTTATTTTAAATAAATACCCAGTATATTTTTCAATTTTTAGATACTTCAATTCATACATTTTATGTACTATGTCCTATACCTGTTTCGGAAATATTAAATGTTTTCCGATTTATTGCAAAAATTAACATTAATAAAATAAAATTATTTGATTACAGAAATGCGTTACAACACTCATACTAATAATACTAAGTTTATTTCTTGATAATGTAACAAAAAAAAAAACAAATCTCAATCCAAGAGATGTTCAAAATGCTCGCCGCGAACATTCTAATCTGAAATAAAAATGTCTTCTAACGTTACTCAACATCTCAGGCGTTACCGATCTAATTGCAAGCGTTATTCGTCTTCTTAAGTAAGCTAGGTCGAGAGGTTTAGTTTTGCATACAATACTTTTGACATATCCACATAAGAAAAAGTCTAATAATGTCAGATCAAGGGATCGTGCTGGCCATTCCATCGATCCTCACCTCCCTAACCACCGATTTGGAAATACTCGATTGAGGTATTGCCGGACATTAATTTGGTAATGGGGCGGTGCTCCATCTTGCTGAAACCATATCATATTCGCAGGAACTTGTGGGTTTGCGAATCGGGAGATAAGTTCGTTAAAGTTGGCGCTACATTATTTTGGACCAGTGTTAAATAATTATCGCCATTCAAA